GTCCTGGAGATGGGAAGTACAGTGCCTGCACTCTGAAGGAGGGGTGTTAATGTTGCAGTTTAAAAACTGTAGTGTAAAGCACCCTTCTGGCAAGACAGTGATGGAGTGAATGATGGTGAAAGTTTTTCTTTTTCGGGCCACCCTGCCTTGGTGGGAATCGGCCAGTGTGATAAAATATATATAAATATATATATATAAATATATATATAATATATATATATATATATATATATATATATATATATATATATATATATATATATATATATATATATATATATATATATATGTCAGCATAGTTGCTGATCCCTGTATTCCCTGTATTATATAGCATAGCATATTAGTATCATCCATGTGCTTTAGATACGAGATCCCTTGTAGGCCTGTGGCTTTGTGTGACATCACGGGATACAGATGTGGAGGCTCATACCTCTGCCCCGGTCTCACTCGGCGGCAGACCATTCAGCGGACAGGCAAGGCGGCTGGGCTCCATACCTCATCTCAGTCTGACAATATAGTTACCATCCTACAAGTGTGTCTATCTTCAACCTGCGATATCTCCATTAAAGAACCCTTCACGATAAATGGTGCCAGCGGAGGGCCTGTAATTCTGACGATTACAGCGATTTCTGGAGATAAAATTTCGACCAGCAAGACGGCCATTTCGTGTCACCAGTAGGCCTTCCGACTACCGAGATTCACCCCAGCCAGCTACCTCAAGTCAGCTACCTCAAGCCAGCTACTCTACCAGCTTCTACATTATTCACTGGTCAGTCTCTTTGTATTAGTGTTTATCTGCTTATTTGCATCACTCCCGAGGGGTTGACCCGAGTTTGTAAAATAAGCCAGCTTCCAGTCTGTGGTGGGAGAGTCAGAACAACCGAGTCCAGTCCAGCCTAGCCTACTCCATCCAATTATTTTGCCTACCAAGCCAGCTTCCACCCCTGCTGTGCTCATCGTGTGAAGTTATCAAGCTATTCTGTGTGAAGGGTTAAGATAAGCCAGCTAGCAACTAACCCAGGTGTCTTACCCCAGTACTCAAGCAAGCCACGTGAGTAGTCTTCATCGCTTGTGATTCAAGCTCCAAGCATTCTGAGTGCTCTTTTTCATCCTTGTGGTGTTGTAGCATTTCGTGGGTTTATTTTAAGCCAGCCGGCTTAGAATTATCTTCGCGGCAGTGTGGGTGTTCTCAGTGAGGCTTACGACGTTCAACCCATAAGCCCAGCCACTCACGATCACGTGTGTCTCTCCATTGCCGGTCTCAGATCCATTAACCCACAAACCCAACTACAGTCAGCCATTACAAACTCACCTACCTCATCAGTGTTTTGGTACACTGCTAAGGGTTGTAGCATCATATTTTAAGGACCACATAGGGGGTCAAGAGCTAGAGTGTGTCGCGTCATCTTTATAAAGCCTCCTGTGTGTGTTATCGCCGATTTAAGCGCAATTCTACGATCATCTGTGCGGAGGACAGCAGCAAGACGACATAAACAATCCATCAATCTCATTCTTCAAGTGTTACACCGATAATATTTTTTTTTAGAGACATTTGCGAGTGTTGAGACATTTCTTTTGTGTTCCCAGTGATTTTTCTCTTTGTGACATTCAGTGACTCTTGATCAGACTCAGTGTTTATCATGTACTGATTGCATTAATTTCTTTTAATCTCCTTAATTCAGTGTTAATTTTCGTGCTATTATTTTATATCTGTTGTGTTGTGTGTCTTTTTATACACTTGAAGTAAGTACTTAGTGTTTCCTTTGTTGTGTGTGCAACATATGAGCAGTATAGAACTTGTGTTTACACTTCAGAATCACCTTGTGTTCTCAGTATTCCAGTGAAGTATTTCAGTAATTTTTCACCTCATATTCTGCATCACAACTCAGTGTTGTCTGTTATTCTTTTTTTCTTCCCAGCATTTGTGTATTTTTATTTTGTTCCCTGTGTGTTGAACATTCTTGTGTTCATATTCTTTCCATTTAGCCAGTGTCTAATTTGTCTTATTTCCACAGACAATAGTGCCATTTTTAAAGTCCAAGCAAGAAATATTTTTTTACAAAATTTTTCACACATCAAGTTTCTTGCAAGAAATCCCAATATTGTGTTATATTGATGTGTTGTGTTCTGCATCACTGTAAGTCTTAAAACTTGTTTTGTTATGTGTTTTTGCACCTATTATTTTTCATGTTTTATTGAACAAATTCACTCTTAGTGCAATTTTTAAGTTCTCCTTTTAAAGTAAATTGTTCGTTTGCTTGTTAAGTGTTGTTTAAGTGCAGTTAAGAGTTAAAGTGTTCATTCCTTGATATATTTCTTTTCTTGTGTGTTATAATTTTTATTATTGCACATTGACTCATTTTGCAATAATTCTTGTGCAAATATTGTGTTGCTATTAAAGTTTTTCTTGCAGAAAATTTTATGAAGTGTTGTGCAATACTTTTTGATTAGCAATTATTTGATATATAGCTATAGTTTATTACAGTGCAGTTTCTTATGCTCTGTTCTGTGCATAGTATTTTATTCTGTCTGTGTCATTTTATTTTTATTTTCAGTGAATTGTGTGTCTGTTTTAATTTTTGCACAAGTTTATTGAGTCCATTTTATCATTTTATTGTGTATTTCCATGTTGCATTGAAAGTAAAGATAACTCACTGTGCCATTTATTCAATTTAAAGTAAAAGTTGAGCAAATTAGATTTGAGCAAAGTAAAAGTTTTCTTGATTTTCAGTGTTTGTTAAATTGCATATTTTTCTTGTGTGAGTTCTTTGCTTACTGTGTAACTTGTCAATTTTTAATTACTTATGCAGAATAGTTAAGCATTTTCTTCCCGTTTAAGCTTATTGTGTCATTCTCATCATTTTTCTTGTCTTAATGTCCTTCAGTAAGTTCACTGAGAAGATGTCCCAGTCACTTTTGAATATTCACTTAGTGTATCATTCCAGTCAAAGTCAATATGAATCAGTCCATAGTACCAACATTCCCTTACTGACTGAAAGACAATACCTAGCCCTTGAGCAATGTGTTTGTTCTCACAGCTTGTATCTGAGATTTGTTAAAGTGCTGCGAAATGTGAAGTTCAGATTAAGTTCCTATAGATCCGTGAATTACTTATTAACGTAGCCGAGCGGTCAGGCACTAGTAACTCTGTCACTCCCATCTGTGTTCCACCTACACCTTCAGACTTGCAGGATAGTGTTCCGTTGCCTCAAGTGTCCGGGGACACTCAGACTGCCTTGAGTGCACAGCCTATCCCTGCAATGACTGCTAGTTCGAGTAGTAGTTTCTCCACTGGGGATGCCTTGTCAGAAAACGATTACTTGCAACTAGTAATGCCATCTCTTGTTGATGTGACATGCTGTCTGCAGAAAGACGTCTCTGTTACAGCTAGTGTTCTCACTAGAGTGTCTGTTGTTGTTCCTAATGTTCCAGATGGTGATCCCATCCTAGTTGACAGTAATCAGTGCATTGCAAGAAGTTATTTCTTGAGTAACTTTCACATGTTAACGTTTGTAAGTGTAGTTTCTTTATAGCTGATACCTCGTGTCACTGTGTGCGACTCAGATTGAATATCAGCATTGTTCACCGTGTTCATTTCTTTTCTCCTGTGCTTGCAGTTTGAGATAGTAGATTCGTTCTCCCTTGCTCATATTGCGTGTTATAGCGTTAATTTTTTCAACCGGGGGGAGTCATCCACTCCACCGAGTTTGTTCTTTCCTCCAGTAAGGAAGAACTGTTACCTTTATTCCAGAACAAACAGCCTACTGGAAGGTTAGCCAGATGGACCTTGACTATCCAAGAGTTCAATCCCACTTTTGAACATTTACCTGGCAAGTCAAATGTAGTCGCAGATGCTTTATCGCGACACGTTAGTGTGGTTACTGCAGATCCTCCATTTACTGTCGAGGATGTCAAAACTGCACAAAGAACAGATCCCATGTGGTCTGGTGTGATTCGATTCCTGCTCCAGGAAGATCTCATTCTTACTGTGAAGCCACCAGCACCCATTAGTGACTTTGTAATGAGCCAAGAATTACTGTATCGAATAGTCGAGTTGAGTACTCCTAGCAGACGAGTTAGTAATTCCACAGTCACTAGTGATTGTATCTTTTGTAGATACTCCTTCAGATTTCTCTCAGTCAAGGCATGTGTTAGCCATTGCAGAGGAATTCGATCCTCCCAGAGATGATAACCATTCTGCATATGTAAACCTTACCCTCGCAGAATTGGGTTTAAATGTACATAGTCTGTATAATTAGATGTCCGAGATGAATGAAATTGTCAACTGTGTGTTTTGTTATTAGCTGATCAGTTTGTCAGAAATTTTCGTGTTCACGTTCCCTCCGTATTCTGAGAATTAACAGTCTAGATTTGAGTGCACCGAATCTGCCTTTCTGTTAAACACTTCTTTGTATATATTTATTCTTCCTCAGAATCCGTAGAGTGCATGAATACAGATCGATCGATCAATTCCACCCATATTGTATAATGATTTGTTCTTATAGTTTGTAATGAATACGTTAACACCCATTACGTAAAATCCATTATGATACCATCCATTAGTTCTAAGTTATATATGAATTTGTTATTGTATAGAATCAGCCCAGATCCGCCTGCCTGTTCAGTCTGTAGTATAGTAGTGTATGTCGGGACGACATACGTAACATGACCGAGCTGTCAGCATAGTTGCTGATCCCTGTATTCCCTGTATTATATAGCATAGCATATTAGTATCATCCATGTGCTTTAGATACGAGATCCCTTGTAGGCCTGTGGCTTTGTGTGACGTCACGGGATACAGATGTGGAGCCTCATACCTCTGCCCCGGTCTCACTCGGCGGCAGACCATTCAGCGGACAGGCAAGGCGGCTGGGCTCCATCCCTCATCTCAGTCTGACAATATAGTTACCATCCTACAAGTGTGTCTATCTTCAACCTGCGATATCTCCATTAAAGAACCCTTTACGATATATATATATTTAGTGAAAACTTTATAATACCGTTGTAATCGGTGTTGGAGAGCTGAGGACACTTCTCCAACACTGCGTCAACCATTGCTTCACCACCAAGTTTCACAGCTTCAATAAGTGGCACCACTGAAATGAAAATAAAAGTACTAAAAATTTTTAAATAAAGTAGATGTTTCTTTGTTTAACTTGCTAAAAAAATTAACACTTACTTTAAGAATCTACAGACCTAAATATATAAAATGTGGCTTGAAAAGTAACTCTCAGAATAAATCTCTGGTACTTATGAGTAACTCTCAGAAGAACTCTTTGGTACCTAAGAGTAACTCTCAGAAGAACTCTTTGGTACCTAAGAGTAACTCTCAGAAGAACTCTCTGTTTCTTAAAAGTAATGACAGTCATGACAGGAATGACAGGCATGACAATCACCACCTCTCAGCAAGAGACATAAGAGTCACCGCCTCTCACCACCAGTCATAACAGTCACCGCCTCTCACCAACAGACATAACAGTCACCACCTCTCACCACCAGTCATAACAGTCACCATCTCTCACCACCAGACATAACAGTCACCACCTCTCACCACCAGACATAACAGTCACCATCTCTCACCACCAGACATAACAGTCACCACCTCTCACCACCAGTCATAACAGTCACCATCTCTCACCACCAGACATAACAGTCACCACCTCTCACCACCAGACATAACAGTCACCATCTCTCACCACCAGACATAACAGTCACCACCTCTCACCACCAGACATAACAGTCACCATCTCTCACCACCAGACATAACAGTCACCACCTCACACCACCAGACATAACAGTCACCATCTCTCACCACCAGACATAACAGTCACCACCTCTCACCACCAGACATAAGTCACCACCTCTCACCACCAGACATAACAGTCACCATCTCTCACCACCAGTCCCAATCTTTAAAAAAGGAGACAGACATGAAGCATTAAACTACAGACCAGTGTCACTGACATGTATAGTATGCAAAATCATGGAGAAGATTATCAGGAGAAGAGTGGTGGAACACCTAGAAAGGAATGATCTCATCAACAGCAGCCAACATGGTTTCAGGGACGGGAAATCCTGTGTCACAAACCTACTGGAGTTCTATGACATGGTGACAGCAGTAAGACAAGAGAGAGAGGGGTGGGAGGATTGCATTTTCTTGGACTGCAAGAAGGCGTTTGACACAGTTCCACACAAGAGATTGGTGCAAAAACTGGAGGACCAAGCAGGGATAACAGGGAAGGCACTACAATGGATCAGGGAATACTTGTCAGGAAGACAGCAGCGAGTCATGGTACGTGGCGAGGTGTCAGAGTGGGCACCTGTGACCAGCGGGGTCCCGCAGGGGTCAGTCCTAGGACCAGTGCTGTTTCTGGTATTTGTGAACGACATGACGGAAGGAAAAGACTCTGAGGTGTCCCTGTTTGCAGATGACGTGAAGTTGATGAGAAGAATTCACTCGATCGAAGACCAGGCAGAACTACAAAGGGATCTGGACAGGCTGCAGACCTGGTCCAGCAATTGGCTCCTGGAGTTCAATCCCACCAAGTGCAAAGTCATGAAGATTGGGGAAGGGCAAAGAAGGTCGCAGACGGAGTACAGTCTAGGGGGTCAGAGACTACAAACCTCACTCAAGGAAAAAGATCTTGGGGTGAGTATAACACCAGGCACATCTCCTGAAGCGCACATCAACCAAATAACTGCTGCAGCATATGGGCGCCTAGCAAACCTCAGAACAGCATTCCGACATCTTAATAAGGAATCATTCAGGACCCTGTACACCGTGTATGTTAGGCCCATATTGGAGTATGCGGCACCAATTTGGAACCCACACCTAGCCAAGCACGTGAAGAAACTAGAGAAAGTGCAAAGGTTTGCAACAAGACTAGTCCCAGAGCTAAGAGATATGTCCTACGAGGAGAGGTTAAGGGAAATCAACCTGACGACACTGGAGGACAGGAGAGATAGGGGGGACATGATAACGACATACAAAATACTGAGAGGAATTGACAAGGTGGACAAAGACAGGATGTTCCAGAGATTGGACACAGTAACAAGGGGACACAGTTGGAAGCTGAAGACACAGATGAATCACAGGGATGTTAGGAAGTATTTCTTCAGCCACAGAGTAGTCAGTAAGTGGAATAGTTTGGGAGGCGATGTAGTGGAGGCAGGATCCATACATAGCTTTAAGCAGAGGTATGATAAAGCTCACGGCTCAGGGAGAGTGACCTAGTAGCGATCAGTGAAGAGGCGGGGCCAGCAGATCGGACTCGACCCCCGCAACCTCAACTAGGTGAGGTGAGTACATAACAGTCACCACCTCTGTCCACCAGACATAACAGTCACCACCTCTCACCAACAGACATAACAGTCACCATCTCTCACCAGCAGACATAACAGCCACCACCTCTGTCCACCAGACATAACAGTCACCACCTCTCACCAACAGACATAACAGTCACCATCTCTCACCAACAGACATAACAGTCACCACCTCTGTCCACCAGACATAACAGTCACCACCTCTCACCACCAGACATAACAGTCACCACCTCTCACCACCAGACATAACAGTCACCAACTCTCACCACCAGACATAACAGTCACCACCTCTCACCACCAGACATAACAGTCACCACCTCTCACCACCAGACATAACATTCACCACCTCTCTCCACCACATATAACAGTCATCACCTCTGTCCACCAGACATAACAGTCACCACCTCTCACCACCAGATATAACAGTCACCACCTCTCACCGCCAGACATAACAGTCACCATTTCTCACCACCAGACATAACAGTCACCACCTCTCACCACCAGACATAACAGTCACCACCTCTCACCACCAGACATAACAGTCACCACATCTCACCACCAGACATAACAGTACCCACCTCTCACCACCAGACATAACAGTCACCACCTGTCTCCACCAGACATAACAGTCACCATCTCTCTCCACCAGACATAACAGTCACCACCTCTCACCACCAGACATAACAGTCACCACCTCTCACCACCAGACATAACAGTCACCACGTCTCTCCACCAGACATGACAGCGACCACCTCTCACCTCCAGACAACAGTCACCACCTCTAACAACCAGATATAACAGTCACCACCTCTCACCACCAGACATAACAGTCACCACCTCTCACCACCAGACATAACAGTCACCACGTCTCTCCACCAGACATGACAGCCACCACCTCTCACCTCCAGACAACAGTCACCGCCTCTCACCACAAGACATAACAGTCACCATCTCTCACAACCAGATATAACAGTCACCACCTCTGTACACCAGACATAACAGTCACCACCTCTGTCCACCAGACATAACAGTCACCACCTCTGTCCACCAGACATAACAGTCACCACCTCTCACCACCATACATAACAGTCACCACCTCTCTCCACCAGACTTAACAGTCACCACCTCTCACCACCAGACACAGTAGTCACCACCTCTCTCCACCAGACATAACAGTCACCACCTCTCTCCACCAGACATAACAGTCACCACCTCTCTCCACCAGACATAACAGTCACCACGTCTGTCCACCAGACATGACAGCGACCACCTCTCACCTCCAGACAACAGTCACCGCCTCTCACCACAAGACATAACAGTCACCACCTCTCACAACCAGATATAACAGTCACCACCTCTGTACACCAGACATAACAGTCACCACCTCTGTCCACCAGACATAACAGTCACCACCTCTGTCCACCAGACATAACAGTCACCACCTCTCACCACCATACATAACAGTCACCACCTCTCTCCACCAGACTTAACAGTCACCACCTCTCACCACCAGACATAGTAGTCACCACCTCTCTCCACCAGACATAACAGTCACCACCTCTCTCCACCAGACATAGCAGTCACCACCTCTCTCCACCAGACATAACAGTCACCACGTCTGTCCACCAGACATGACAGCGACCACCTCTCACCTCCAGACAACAGTCACCGCCTCTCACCACAAGACATAACAGTCACCACCTCTCACAACCAGATATAACAGTCACCACCTCTGTACACCAGACATAACAGTCACCACCTCTGTCCACCAGACATAACAGTCACCACCTCTGTCCACCAGACATAACAGTCACCACCTCTCACCACCATACATAACAGTCACCACCTCTCTCCACCAGACTTAACAGTCACCACCTCTCACCACCAGACATAGTAGTCACCACCTCTCTCCACCAGACATAACAGTCACCACCTCTCTCCACCAGACATAACAGTCACCACCTCTCTCCACCAGACATAACAGTCACCACCTCTCACCACCAGACATAGTAGTCACCACCTCTCTCCACCAGACATAACAGTCACCACCTCTCTCCACCAGACATAACAGTCACCACCTCTCTCCACCAGACATAACAGTCACCACCTCTCACAACCAGATATAACAGTCACCACCTCTGTACACCAGACATAACAGTCACCACCTCTGTCCACCAGACATAACAGTCACCACCTCTCTCCACCAGACTTAACAGTCACCACCTCTCACCACCAGACATAGTAGTCACCACCTCTCTCCACCAGACATAACAGTCACCACGTCTCTCCACCAGACATAACAGTCACCACCTCTCTCCACCAGACATAACAGTCACCACGTCTCTCCTCCAGACATAACAGTCACCACCTCTCTCCACCAGACATAACAGTCACCACCTCTCTCCACCAGACATAACAGTTACCACCTCTCTCCACCAGACATAACAGTCACCACCTCTCTCCACCAGACATAACAGTCACCACCTCTCACCACCAGACAACAGTCACCACCTCTCTCCTCCAGACATAACAGTCACCACCTCTCACCATCAGACATAACAGTCACCACCTCTCTCCACCAGACATAACAGTCACCACCTCTCTCCACCAGACTTAACAGTCACCACCTCTCACCACCAGACATAACAGTCACCACCTCTCTCCTCCAGACATAACAGTCACCACCTCTCACCACCAGACATAACAGTCACCACCTCTCACCACCAGACATAACAGTCACCACCTCTCTCCACCAGACTTAACAGTCACCACCTCTCTCCACCAGACATAACAGTCACCACGTCTCTCCTCCAGACATAACAGTCACCGTCTCTCACCACCAGACATAACAGTCACCACCTCTCTCCACCAGACATATCAGTCGTCACCTCTCTCCTCCAGACATAACAGTCACCACGTCTCTCCTCCAGACATAACAGTCACCACCTCTCTCCTCCAGACATAACAGTCACCACGTCTCTCCACCAGACATAACAGTCACCACGTCTCTCCACCAGACATAACAGTCACCACGTCTCTCCTCCAGACATAACAGTCACCACCTCTCACCTCCAGACATAACAGTCACCACGTCTCTCCACCAGACATAACAGTCACCACGTCTCTCCACCAGACATAACAGTCACCACGTCTCTCCACCAGACATAACAGTCACCACGTCTCTCCACCAGACATAACAGTCACCACCTCTCACCACCAGACATAACAGTCACCACCTCTCACCACCAGACATAACAGTCACCACCTCTCTCCACCAGACATAACAGTCACCACGTCTCTCCACCAGACATAACAGTCACCACGTCTCTCCACCAGACATAACATTCACCACGTCTCTCCACCAGACATAACAGTCACCACATCTCTCCACCAGACATAACAGTCACCACCTCTCACCACCAGACATAACAGTCACCACCTCTCACCACCAGACATAACAGTCACCACGTCTCCCCACCAGACATAACAGTCACCACCTCTCACCACCAGACATAACAGTCACCACCTCTCACCACCAGACATAACATTCACCACGTCTCTCCACCAGACATAACAGTCACCACGTCTCTCCACCAGACATAACAGTCACCACGTCTCTCCTCCAGACATAACAGTCACCACGTCTCTCCACCAGACATAACAGTCACCACGTCTCTCCATCAGACATAACAGCCACCACCTCTCACCACCAGACATAACAGTCACCACGTCTCTCCTCCAGACATAACAGTCACCACGTCTCTCCACCAGACATAACAGTCACCACGTCTCTCCTCCAGACATAACAGTCACCACGTCTCTCCTCCAGACATAACAGTCACCACGTCTCTCCACCAGACATAACAGTCACCACGTCTCTCCACCAGACATAACAGTCACCACGTCTCTCCACCAGACATAACAGTCACCACGTCTCACCACCAGACATAACAGTCACCACGTCTCTCCACCAGACATAACAGTCACCACGTCTCTCCACCAGACATAACAGTCACCACGTCTCTCCACCAGACATAACAGTCACCACGTCTCTCCACCAGACATAACAGTCACCACGTCTCTCCACCAGACATAACAGTCACCACCTCTCACCTCCAGACAAGATGAGGTTAACGTCTGCTCCAGCCTCCAGAATAATTTCAACAATAGTTAGGTTGTTCTTCCTGATGGCGGCCACCAGCGGCGTCACTCCTGCAAAGTATCAACCAAAATATTGCGTAAAAATATTACTTAAAATTAACTGGAATTTGCACATATACGTCATTAAAGATTAAGTATAGTTATTAAAAGACAATCTTGGAGGCAGTGAAAATATCAGTAGTTCGTAGTCCTATTAACTGAATCTGATTAAATTTATTTGATTTCCTTGATGTCCCTGAGAGGCGTTTGATCCAAGGAATGTGATCTGTTCTCCCCTTCTTTGTATCGATCCTAATTACCTCCCAATTTCAAAGCGCATTATAAGCCCCTAAGGCTTTAGCGCTTCCTCTAAGTACAATAATAATTAAGTCAAAATGTCTTGTAACATGAACTCTTTAGATTAATAATAAAAATTAAAAATGGTTCCCTAGAGTGTTGCTCACACACATTAATACCTCAGCATCACTACCAAACATTCAGAACATTAATACCTCAGCTTAACTACCAAACATTCAGAACATTAATACCTCAGCTTAACTACCAAACATTCAGAACATTAATACCTCAGCATCACTACCAAACATTCAGAACATTAATACCTCAGCTTAACTACCAAACATTCAGAACATTAATACCTCAGCATCACTACCAAACATTCAGAACATTAATACCTCAGCATCACTACCAAACATTCAGAACATTAATACCTCAGCATCACTACCAAACATTCAGAACATTAATACCTCAGCATCACTACCAAACATTCAGAACATTAATACCTCAGCATCACTACCAAACATTCAGAACATTAATACCTCAGCATCAATACCAAACATTCAGAACATTAATACCTCAGCTTTAATACCAAACATTCAGAACATTAATACCTCAGCTTCAATACCAAACACTCAGAACATTAATACCTCAGCTTCAATACCAAACACTCAGAACATTAATACCTCGGCTTCCCTACCAAACATTCAGAACATTAATACCTCAGCATCAATACCAAACATTCAGAACATTAATACCTCAGCTTCAATACCAAACACTCAGGACATTAATACCTCAGCTTCAATACCAAACACTCAGAACATTAATACCTCAGCTTCAATACCAAACATTCAGAACATTAATACCTCAGCTTCAATACCAAACACTCAGGACATTAATACCTCAGCTTCAATACCAAACACTCAGAACATTAATACCTCAGCTTCAATACCAAACATTCAGAACATTAATACCTCAGCTTCAATACCAAACATTCAGAACATTAATACCTCTGCATCAATACCAAACATTCACAACATTAATACATCAGCATCAATACCAAACATTCAGAACATTAATACCTCAGCATCAATACCAAACATTCAGAACAATAATACCTCAGCTTTACTACCAAACATTGAGAACATTAATACCTCAGCTTTACTACCAAACATTCACAACATTAATACCTCAGCTTTACTACCAAACATTCAGAACATTAATACCTCAGCTTTACTACCAAACATTCAGAACATTAATACCTCAGCATCAATACCAAACATTCAGAACATTAATACCTCAGCTTTACTGCCAAACATTCAGAACATTAATACCTCAGCATCAATACCAAACATTCAGAACATTAATACCTCAGCTTTACTGCCAAACATTCAGAACATTAATACCTCAGCATCAATACCAAACATTCAGAACATTAATACCTCAGCTTTACTGCCAAACATTCAGAACATTAATACCTCAGCTTCACTGCCAAACATTCACAACATTAATACCTCAGCTTCACTACCAAACATTCAGAACATTAATACCTCAGCATCAATACCAAACATTCAGAACATTAATACCTCAGCTTCACTGTCAAACATTCAGAGCATTAATACCTCAGCTTCACTACCAAACATTCAGAACATTAATACCTCAGCATCAATACCAAACATTCAGAACATTAATACCTCAGCTTCACTGTCAAACATTCAGAACATTAATACCTCAGCTTCACTACCAAACATTCAGAACATTAATACCTCAGCTTCACTGTCAAACATTCAGAACATTAATACCTCAGCTTTACTACCAAACATTCACAACATTAATACCTCAGCTTTACTACCAAACATTCAGAACATTAATACCTCAGCTTTACTACCAAACATTCACAACATTAATACCTCAGCTTCACTGTCAAACATTCAGAACATTAATACCTCAGCTTTACTACCAAACATTCAGAACATTAATACCTCAGCTTCACTACCAAACATTCACAACATTAATACCTCAGCTTCACTACCAAACATTCACAACATTAATACCTCAGCTTCACTACCAAACATTCACAACATTAATACCTCAGCTTCAATACCAAACAAATGTTATTAGGAAACATTAAGACCATTAAGAGGCACCTAAGTTCCATCGTCTTCTAATAAAATGTTAATTTTCCACTATAATCTACATTGTCTATAATTACTATCACATTTACTTTGTCTGTTTCGTAAGGTGAGGTCCAGGATCTTCCTAAGTTCATTGTATAACTCAACACATCTTAACAAAGCTCAGAACTTAGCAACACAATTGTCCTCACAGACTTGTTAAGTTATACCATGAATTAAGGAAAGATCCTGGACTTCACCTAACGAAGCAGACAAAGCAAATACGAGAGTAATTATTGGCAAGGTAGATTATGTTGGGAAAATGAGAACGTTACTAGAAGACGGGGACTCAGAGGTGCGTGTTAGGGGCAGGGCGGGACTGAGACATGTTGTTTAGTGGGTTGCAGCCTGCGGCTTCCGCCAGCTGCACGGCCTCCAGAGATGTTATTAACAATTTACAATTTACTAAAGTTTTGGAGAAAATTGTGTTCAAGAAATTACGCGAAGCTAATGTTTGAATTTTAATTGTCATTAATGTTTAAAAAAAAACTTTTCATGTTTCTTTAACTTTTTCTGTTTTAAAATATCACTTGGCCCCCCCTTTCACACTTCCTGTAGCCCTGGGGTCTCACAGTACCTGTAGCCCAGGGGTCTCACAGTACCTGTAGCCCAGGGGTCTCACAGTACCTGTAGCCCAGGGGTCTCACAGTACCTGTAGCCCAGGGGTCTCACAGTACCTGTAGCCCAGGGTCTCACAGTACCTGTAGCCCAGGGGTCTCACAGTACCTGTAGCCCAGAGGTCTCACAGTACCTGTAGCCCAGGGGTCTCACAGTACCTGTAGCCCAGAGGTCTCACAGTACCTGTAGCTCAGGGGTCTCACAGTACCTGTAGCCCAGGGGTCTCACAGTACTTGTAGCCAAGGGGTCTCACAGTACCTGTAGCCCAGAGGTCTCACAGTACCTGTAGCTCAGGGGTCTCACAGTACCTGTAGCTCAGGGGTCTCACAGTACCTGTAGCCCGGGGGTCTCACAGTACCTGTAGCCAAGGGGTCTCACAGTACCTGTAGCCCAGGGGTCTCACAGTACTTGTAGCCAAGGGGTCTCATAGTACCTGTAGCCCAGGGGTCTCACAGTACCTGTAGCCCAGGGGTCTCACAGTACCTGTAGCCCAGGGGTCTCACAGTACCTGTAGCCCAGGGGTCTCACAGTACCTGTAGCCCAGGGGTCTCACAGTACCTGTAGCCCAGGGGTCTCACAGTACCTGTACCCCAGGGGTCTCACAGTACCTGTAGCCCAGGGGTCTCACAGTACCAATAGCCCAGGGGTCTCACAGTACCTGTAGCCCAGGGGTCTCACAGTACCTGTAGCCCAGGGGTCTCACAGTACCTGTAGCCCAGGGGTCTCACAGTACCTGTTGCCCAGGGGTCTCACAGTACCTGTAGCCCAGGGGTCTCACAGTACCTGTAGCCCAGGGGTCTCACAGTACCTGTAGCCCAGGGGTCTCACAGTACCTGTAGCCCAGGGGTCTCACAGTACCTGTAGCCCAGGGGTCTCACAGTACTTGTAGCCCAGGGGTCTCACAGTACCTGTAGCCCAGGGGTCTCACAGTACCTGTATCCCAGAGGTCTCACAGTACCTGTAGCCCAGGGGTCTCACAGAACCTGTAGCCCAGGGGTCTCACAGTACCTGTAGCCAAGGGGCCTCACAGTACCTGTAGCCCAGGGGTCTCACAGTACCTGTTGCCAAGGGGTCTCACAGTACCTGTAGCCCAGGGGTCTCACAGTACCTGTAGCCCAGGGGTCTCACAGTACCTGTAGCCCAGGGGCCTCACAGTACCTGTAGCCCAGGGGTCTCACAGTACCTGTAGCCCATGGGTCTCACAGTACCTGTAGCCCAGGGGTCTCACAGTACCTGTAGCCAAGGGGTCTCACAGTACCTGTAGCCCAGGGGTCTCACAGTACCTGTAGCCCAGGGGTCTCACAGTACCTGTAGCCCAGGGGTCTCACAGTACCTGTAGCCAAGGGGTCTCACAGTACCTGTAGCCCAGGGGTCTCACAGTACCTGTAGCCCAGGGGTCTCACAGTACCTGTATCCCAGGGGTCTCACAGTACCTGTAGCCCAGGGGTCTCACAGTACCTGTAGCCCAGGGGTCTCACAGTACCTGTAGCCAAGGAGCCTCACAGTACCTGTAGCCCAGGGGTCTCACAGTACCTGTAGCCAAGGGGTCTCACAGTACCTGTAGCCCAGGGGTCTCACAGTACCTGTAGCCAAGGGGCCTCACAGTACCTGTAGCCAAGGGGCCTCACAGTGCCTGTAACCCAGGGGTCTCACAGTACCTGTAACCCAGGGGTCTCACAGTACCTGTAGCCAAGGGGCCTCACAGTGCCTGTAGCCAAGGGGCCTCACAGTGCCTGTAGCCCAGGGGACTCACAGTACCTGTAGCCCAGGGGCCTCACAGTACCTGTAGCCCAGGGGCCTCACAGTGCCTGTAGCCCAGGGGCCTCAGAGTACCTGTAGCCCAGGGGACTCACAGTACCTCTAGCCAAGGGGACTCACATTAGGTGTAGCCCAGGGGCCTCACAGTACCTGTAGCCCAGGGGTCTCACAGTACCTGTAGCCCAGGGGCCTCACAGTACCTGTAGCCCAGGGGTCTCACAGCACCTGTAGCCCAGGGGTCTCACAGTACCTGAAGCCCAGGGGTCTCACAGTACCTGTAGCCCAGGGGTCTCACAGTACTTGTAGCCCAGGGGTCTCACAGTACCTGTAGCCCAGGGGACTCACAGTACCTGTAGCCCAGGGGACTCACAGTACCTGTAGCCCCGGGGTCTCACAGTACCTGTAGCCCAGGGGACTCACAGTACCTGTAGCCCAGGGGACTCACAGTACCTGTAGCCCAGGGGACTCACAGTACCTGTAGCCCAGGGGACTCACAGTTCCTGTAGCCCAGGGGACTCACAGTACCTGTAGCCCAGGGGACTCACAGTACCTGTAGCCCAGGGGTCTCACAGTACCTGTAGCCCAGGGGACTCACAGTACCTGTAGCCCAGGGGACTCACAGTTCCTGTAGCCCAGGGGACTCACAGTACCTGAAGCCAAGGGGTCTCACAGTACCTGTAGCCCAGGGGTCTCACAGTACCTGTAGCCCAGGGGACTCACAGTACCTGTAGCCCAGGGGACTCACAGTTCCTGTAGCCCAGGGGACTCACAGTACCTGTAGCCCAGGGGTCTCACAGTACCTGTAGCCCAGGGGTCTCACAGTACCTCTAGCCCAGGGGACTCACAGTACCTGTAGCCCAGGGGACTCACAGTTCTTGTAGCCCAGGGGACTCACAGTACCTGTAGCCAAGGGGTCTCACAGTACCTGTAGCCCAGGGGTCTCACAGTACCTGTAGCCCAGGGTACTCACAGTACCTGTAGCCCAGGGGACTCACAGTACCTGTAGCCCAGGGGACTCACAGTTCCTGTAGCCCAGGGGACTCACAGTACCTGTAGCCCAGGGGTCTCACAGTACCTGTAGCCCAGGGGTCTCACAGTACCTGTAGCCCAGGGGACTCACAGTACCTGTAGCCCAGGGGACTCACAGTTCCTGTAGCCCAGGGGACTCACAGTACCTGTAGCCAAGGGTGTCTCACAGTACCTGTAGCCCAGGGGTCTCACAGTACCTGTAGCCCAGGGGACTCACAGTACCTGTAGCCCAGGGGACTCACAGTACCTGTAGCCCAGGGGACTCACAGTACCTGTAGCCCAGGGGACTCACAGTACCTGTAGCCCCGGAGTCTCACAGTACCTGTAGCCCAGGGGACTCACAGTACCTGTAGCCCAGGGGTCTCACAGTACCTGTAGCCCAGGGGTCTCACAGTACCTGTAGCCCAGGGGTCTCACAGTACCTGTAGCCCAGGGGTCTCACAGTACCTGTAGCCCAGGGGACTCACAGTTCCTGTAGCCCAGGGGTCTCACAGTACCTGTAGCCCCGGGGGCTACAAAATCTTAATTCGGCTCTTAAGGGCAGCTTTAAAAGAGATGATATAATAACTGTTAAGACTGAGAAGCGGGCGTGTGGGTTACTGCTTCACTATTCGTGTGTACTTAAGTACAACTGCTGTGTGGACAAACCAGTCTAGGAGCTTCCTGGGATGAAGTTCACTTGGGTTGTAGATGGCGTTGTTCTGTTAAAACTTATTAGTCATTTCAGGGTGCTGGGAATGGATTCTACAATTTGACACAAGGATATTGTTCAGTGAATTTTACTCTAGTTACCGTACACGTGCGTTGATAATTTGAAGTCGATCGGATGAGGCATTCTCGTGTTACATGCAAAATAAAATTGAAAAGTTTGAGGAATAAAAAATGAGAAAAAAAATGAGATAATCAGTTACAGGTCAATTGGGGGATACATAACTAGCTAATAACACACTAAAATAAGTTATCTAAACTTTTTACCAAAGCAAAATTTACTTCCAAGCGACTGACAACTCACAACTAGTCCAGAACCATCTCATCACTTATTTACAAGTAACCCACAACATAAAATTTTTCTAAGGACCATAAATAATTTCTTCAAATGGTATTAGTTAAGTCGTAACAAAGTAATAACTTGGATAATAAAACAAGGCGAGCAGCAGCACCTCACCTGCGTTTCCAACAATTTCTATGTTTGGTGAGGCATTTACAACATCCGTGACTATTCCTACGTTGCTTGTATCTATGGCGGCCAGCAGGGGAGTCGAACCTGTAATGTACAACAACAAACATGTAAATCATTAATGGTTCAAGTCGGGTCGAAACGTTGTTATAACTTTCATTCTTCTAGTTGTGATTTATTTGTGTGTGTTAGAATATTATTCAGGTCAAATTTTATTTAAGATCAGAACTGTAAAAATGATTCAATGATAGGAAATTGAACGATTGTAATTACTGAATTCCCGACTAAATATAATATTATCAAGATCCTTGATAATATGAGAAATCACGAAAGCGCTTGAAATTTCAAAGTGGTTGTTTTGCATAATCTGAAATCACCTGTGATCTTATTGCATATATATATATATTATATATATATATATATATATATATATATATATATATATATATATATATATTATATATATATATATTATATATAAATATATATATATATATATATTATTTATAATATATATATATATATATATATATATATATATATATATATATATATATATATATATATATATATATATATATATATATATATATATATATATATCAAGATCCTTGATAATATGAGAAATCACGAAAGCGCTTGAAATTTCAAAGTGGTTGTTTTGCATATTCTGAAATCACCTGTGATCTTATTGCGTATATATATATATATATATATATATTATATATATATATATATATATATATATATATATATATATATATATATATATATATATATATATATAATATCTATATATATAATATATATAATATATATATATATATATATATATATACATACATACATACATGCAATTGGTGATGTCTGCACCTTAAAAATGTATAAGTGCTTTCCTCTCCTACCTCAAGTCCTCCTACTCCCCCACACCTGACCTCAGGTCTCTCCATCATTCTCAGATTTTTCTGTGGGATGGTCGGTGAGTTTGCACGCATTTTCCTCTTACATTCATGAGGAACTACAGTTATTGGCTCCCGTCACCCATATATACTTACCTCTGTCATGACACGAAATTGTAATATTAACTCTATTGTAAACGAATCGCGGTACGAGTGGGGTTTGAATCCTCTCTCGATTGGTTATAACACTGTCTTGTGAGTTTTAGAACTCACTTACCATAGGTTCAAAACCAACCCGTGCCGTGATTTATTTTACCCATGACACTCTTCGCCCACCTTCCCCCGGTTCGTGATCCCAGGAATGTCGCAAGCCATGTAAGGTTCCCAGTGACCTTTCCCCATCACCGGCATTATGACATTGCCTGGAGGCCTCCAGTTGGAAACAGCAGCCAACAGCCATTCCCAACAGAGCTGACAGCCACCCAGATTTTACCGTTGAAGTGGCTAGTTTATTGTGCACCCCATATCTATCTTACGGACGGATAGATATGGATACACCATAGATCTAAGAACTAGGCCCAAAATGGTTTCCAAGAGTACATAAGAAAATAATAACATAAGAATGGAGGAGCACTGCAGAAGGCCTACTGCCCCATACAAAGCAGGTCCTCATCAAAACCACCACTACCCAAAGCTACTCAAGAATTTACTCCCGTACCCTCGAGATTTATATCTACAGTCCACTTATCTGTTGCAAGCAAATTTTTAATCAAGGATTTAACAGGGGTATCAAATTAACATCCAGGATACGCTGGTATACATCCCCGGAGCAACTACACCTGCCACCACATACAAATATGAAAAATAAAATTAATTTCTGACTTTGAATTTGGTATTTAGTTTCTAAGTCTTTAGTTTCAAACAAACAACGAGAAATGTGCTAAGATTCTTCATTCAATACCTTTTACGTTTCATCATATATATAATTAATGGTGAGTTGGGATCTAAGAAGAAAATAAGTTTTGTAAATATCAACATGACTCCAGAATGAAAGTCTTCAGTAATACAGAAACTCTGACTTACCTGAACTATCTTTTACATTGATGTCACTTGTTCTCTCTATCAACACCTTCGTCAGCTCTCTGTTACCAAGTTTAATTGCTTCAATTAATGGTTGTTCTGCAATTACAAGAAATATTTTGGAGGTATTATTACATGAAATACAATGGAATGTTATTCAGTTATTATCAAAATGAGGTGTTACTACATAGCCTGGGCAGGGGTTATGTGACTCGAGGGATGACTGACTCTCAGATAACTGACTGTAGGGAAGGCAGGGGTTATGTGACTCGAGGGATGACTGACTCTCTGATAACTAACTGCTGAAAAGGCAGGGGTTATGTGACTCGAGGGATGATTGACTCTCAGATAACTAACTACTGAGAAGGCAGGGGTTATGTGACTCGAGGGATGACTGACTCTCAGATAACTAACTACTGAAAAGGCAGGGGTTATGTGACTCGAGGGATGACTGACTCTCTGATAACTAACTGCTGAAAAGGCAGGGGTTATGTGACACGAGGGATGACTGACTCTCTGATAACTAACTGCTGAAAAGGCAGGGGTTATGTGACTCGAGGGATGACTGACTCTCTGATAACTAACTTCAGGGAAGACATGGAAGGCAGGGGTTATGTGACTGGAGGGATGACTGACTCTCTGATAACTATCTTCAGGGAATACATGGAAGGCAGGGGTTATGTGACTCGAGGGATGACTGACTCTCTGATAACTAACTTCAGGGAAGACATGGAAGGCAGGGGTTATGTGACTGGAGGGATGACTGACTCTGATAACTAACTTCAGGGAAGGCAGGGAAGGCAGGGGTTATGGAATATGAAGGGGGCCTCTCTCGGTTCACTAGTATATATTAGTATAAGAATGGTGAGTGCTAATCCTGTAAAGCTCACACAGCACTTGGGAAAATGGGGGTACTGATGTTCGATCCAAGGAGGTAGAGGAAGGTTCGATTGCTTGAATCAAGATGTTATAGCATATTTTAGGTTAAGTTAGTTTAAGTTATGATACGAGGAATTTTAAGTTAGTTTAGATTAGGTTAGGGTACGAGAATTTTCAAGTTATGTTAGGTTAGGATACGAGGAATTTTAACTTAGGTCAGGATGCGAGGAACTTTTCTGTCGAATGACAGGAAAACAAAGAATAAGGAATGGAGTGAATATCTCTTCCTGATAACTGACGCATAGGATCTGGAGTAATAGGATGCGAGGGATACTTCATTTGGATCATTGCAATACAGGAGATGGAATTATGGAATAGAAGGGATGCATGTTTTAAATAATATACAAGTGGACCGGCTGGGTTATGAGTTAGAAGGAATACCTCTCAGATCACTAACACACATCTCCTGATGTTATGGAACTCAAGTGATCTCTCAAAAACCACTGTGGTACAGTGGTCTGGTTTATGGAAGTCAAGGAATAACACTCGGATTATTGACGTGGAGGCTGTCTTTCTCGGATCATTTACGTACACATGGCTGTGGTTATGGGATACGTTGGATTCCTCATGAAGACTAATAATCACAATGTTACAAGACTTAACCAGTACCACCTACCGCCTCTGTTGTTAGAATACATCACCAAGGCTCCTGCGTCCACAAGTTCTCTGACAAACTCTGTGTCGTTCGACCTGATGGCTTCTAGCAGCGGCGTCGTTCCTGTCGTGTGGGACAGTGAATAGATGATTGAAAGAGTAGCTCCTTGTCGGAAAAGAAGGCGTTTGTAGTTGTAAAAATGTTAATGTAAATTTATCCACCGATTCCCCTCCTCCACCAAAAATATATAAAGCATAATGGAAACGTGTCAGTCACTTATTTTTTAGATAAAAAGAAGTTGTTAAAATATGATAAAAAAAAATTTAAATGCTCATATTCCAGTCATTGCATTTTTTCTTCCAATTTTCCGTGTGTATTATAAAGACTTTAATGGTATAAACCTTGGTAATAAATACCGACAAGTTGCTTTAGAAAGACACGTAAGCAAACACTATAACACATTTATTAGAAAACGTTTCGGTCCTGGGACCTTGATCAAGGTCCCAGGACCGAAACGTTTTCTAATAAATATGTTATAGTGTTTGCTTACGTGTCTTTCTAAACCAAAGACTAATAAAAAAAACGAACTATACAAGTGTTGTAAGCTTAATTTGGTTGTGTCATCATCAGTTTACTAAATATGGAGATGGATTTAGAAATTTAATATCTAGTGAGCCATAAGGATTCCTTAATCTAATGAACACAGTTATATATTTGAAAAAGAAAACTGTAAGAAAGTTATTGGTGTGGATAGGCGTATCAAAAGAGGTGAGGGTCATCTTATGAATCAGTATATTGACATTAAGAGGGACATTAAAAAGGGGATAAGAAAAGCTAAAAGGGACTATGAAATTAAAGTTGCTAGGGATTCTAAAACTAACCCAAAAAGTTTTTTCCAGGTATATAGAACAAAAGTCAGAGATAAGATAGGTCCCCTTAAAAATAACTATGGGCATCTTACTGACAAAGAGAATGAAATGTGCTCGATTTTAAATAATTATTTTCTCTCAGTTTTTACACAGGAAGACACTAACAATATTCCAGTAATTAATTTATATAGTTTGCTAGAAGAAGATAAATTATGTAACATCACAGTCACTAGTGAAATGGTTGTGAAGCAGATAGACAGACTGAAGCAAAATAAGTCACCGGGTCCTGATGAGGTTTTTTCAAGGGTTCTTAAGGAATGCAAAATGGAAGACTGTGAACCATTAACTAATATTTTTAATTTATCTCTTCAAACAGGTGTAGTGTCTGATATGTGGAAGATGGCTAATGTAATTCCTATTTTTAAAACAGGGGACAAGTCGTTACCGTCAAATTACCGCCCAATAAGCCTGACCTCAATTGTAGGCAAATTACTAGAGTCAATTGTAGCTGAGATTATAAGAAGCCATCTCGATAAGCATAGCTTGATTAATGATATTCAGCATGGATTCACAAGAGACCGGTCTTGTCTAACTAATTTATTAACTTTCTTCAGTAAAGCTTTTGAGGCTGTTGACCACGATAAAGAATTTGATATTATTTACTTAGATTTTAGTAAGGCTTTTGATAGAGTTCCGCACCAAAGACTGTTAAAGAAAGTGGCAGCTCATGGCATTGGGGGAAAAGTGCTCTCGTGGATCGAGTCATGGCTCACAGACAGGAAGCAGAGAGTGTCCATAAATGGGGTTAAATCCGAGTGGGGATCTGTAACAAGTGGCGTTCCACAGGGATCAGTCTTGGGCCCGTTGTTGTTTATAATATATGTCAATGATCTTGATGAGGGTGTTACTAGTGATATGAGTAAATTCGCCGATGACACAAAGATAGGTAGGATAATTGATTCAAACGTAGATGTTAGGGAACTTCAGGAGGATTTAAACAAACTCTATTCTTGGTCAGAAAAGTGGCAGATGCAGTTCAATGTTGATAAATGCAAGGTTCTGAAGCTCGGGAGTGTCCATAACCCTAGCACTTATAAGTTAAATGATGTAAAGTAAAAGGATACAAGTGCAACTAATGTGACATTTAGGCAGTGCTCCACACAAACTAGACGGAGTTCTTGCCAAACATCTTTCCTGCCTTCTGGGGACCAGTAGCCCCGCTCATCTTAAACACTCAGGCGACCTTCTCAACCGCATCCGAAACCTCTCCATCCGTTACAAGAAACTAAGCAGTTTGGACGTGACTTCCCTCCTCACAAAAGTACCTACCACAAAAGCCATCGAGGTTCTACGACGTAAAGTCAATCAGGACCTTAATCTTCCTCTACCTCCCGGAGATTTTGTTGACTTGATTGAACTCTGTGTTAATTTCAACTGTTTTTTCTTTCAATAACAAGCTCTACAAACAAACCTACGGCATGGGAATGGGGTCCCCCATCATTGCCGTCCTAGCCAACTTATACATGGAACACCTAGAGTCCGAACACTTCGCCAACATCATCCATTCAAGCGTCACTTGGTTAAGTTACGTGGACGACGTCCTCGTAATAACTCCCAAACGTTTTGATGTACAGAGTCTTCAGGCAAGGCTCAACGCAGTTGAACCGGCGATCCAGTTTACACTAGAAGAAGAGTCCAATGACAAGCTACCTTTCCTCGACGTCCTCATTCACAAAGTAGACAACAACCTAAGATTTCAAGTTAATCGGAAACCTAATAAAAATGATCTCACACACTTCTATTCCAGTCAAGATACCAAGACCAAAAGAGGCATCATCATCGGGTTTTTCCTAAGAGCATACCGAATTTGTAGTCCTGAGTTTCTTGACGAGGAATGTACATACATTCACCAAGTTACATTTTCCTTCCTTTTTCATCAAAGACTGCAAGAAAAGAGCTCTTCAGATCCTTAATTCTCCACGCACCAACACCACTCCAAACAAAGTTATAATTCTTCCCAACAGTCAGGTTGCACTGAACGTTTCTAAAGTATTTTCACAAGCTAACACCAGAGTCGCCATCGCTTCTAGCACTTCAATAAAGGATCTAACCAGGACAAAATCAAATCACCACGAACCAGTCAACGCAGGAGTTTACACTATACCCTGTGGAGGCTGTGACAAGATTTACGTAGGTGAAACAGCAAGAAACCTCGACACCCGCCTCAATGAACACATTTACGCATGTAGGAACGATAACTTGAACAACGCCTGTGTACAACACCGTAATAAGAACATAAGAACATAAGAAAGGAGGAACACTGCAGGAGGCCTGTTGGCCCATACTAGGCAGGTCCTTTACAATTCATCCCACTAACAAAACATTTGCCCAACCCAATTTCCTATGCTACCCAAGAAATAAGCTCTGATGTGCAAGTCCCACTCAAATCCAACCCCTCCCACTCATGTACTTATCCAACCTAAATTCGAAACTACGCAAAGTCCTAGCCTCAATCACCCAACTAGGTAGACTGTTCCACTCATCAACTACCCTATTTCCAAACCAATACTTTCCTATATCCTTTCTAAATCTAAACTTATCTAATTTAAATCAATTACTGCGGGTTCTCTCTTGGAGAGATATCCTCAAGACCTTATTAGTATCCCCTTTATTAATACCTATCTTCCATTTATACACTTCGATCAGGTCTCCCCTCATTCTTCGTCTAACAAGTGAATGTAATTTAAGAGTCTTCAATCTTTCTTCATAAGGAAGATTTCTAATGCTATGTATTAATTTAGTCATCCTACGCTGAATGTTTTCTAACGAATTTATGTCCATTCTGTAATATGGAGACCAGAATTGAGCTGCATAATCTAGGTGAGGCCTTACTAATGATGTATAAAGCTGCAGTATGACATCTGGACTTCTGTTGCTTACACTTCTTGATATAAATCCCAGTAATCTATTTGCCTTATTACGTACGCTTAGGCATTGCTGTCTTGGTTTAAGGTTGCTGCTCACCATAACCCCCAAGTCCTTTTCGCAATCTGTATGGCTAAGTTCTACATCATTTAACTTATAAGTGCTAGGGTTATGGACACTCCCGAGCTTCAGAACCTTGCATTTATCTGCATTGAACTGCATCTGCCTCTTTTCTGACCAAGAATAGAGTTTGTTTAAATCTTCCTGAAGTTCCCTAACATCTACGTTTGAATCAATTATCCTACCTATCTTTGTGTCATCGGCGAATTTGCTCATATCACTAGTAACACCCTCATCAAGATCATTGATATATATTATAAACAACAACGGCCCCAAGACTGATCCCTGTGGAACGCCACTTGTTACAGATCCCCACTCGGATTTAACCCCATTTATGGACACTCTCTGCTTCCTGTCTGTGAGCCATGACTCGATCCACGAGAGCACTTTTCCCCCAATGCCATGAGCTGCCACTTTCTTTAACAGTCTTTGGTGCGGAACTCTATCAAAAGCCTTACTAAAATCTAAGCAAATAATATCAAATTCTTTATCGTGGTCAACAGCCTTAAAAGCTTTACTGAAGAAAGTTAATAAATTAGTTAGACAAGACCGGTCTCTTGTGAATCCATGCTGAGTATCATTAATCAAGCTATGCTTATCGAGATGGCTTCTTATAATCTCAGCTACAATTGACTCTAGTAATTTGCCTACAATTGAGGTCAGGCTTATTGGGCGGTAATTTGATGGTAACGACTTGCCCCCTGTTTTAAAAATAGGAATTACATTAGCCATCTTCCACATATCAGACACTACACCTGTTTGAAGAGATAAATTAAAAATATTAGTTAATGGTTCACAGAGTTCCATTTTGCATTCCTTAAGAACCCTTGAAAAAACCTCATCAGGACCCGGCGACTTATTTTGCTTCAGTCTGTCTATCTGCTTCACAACCATTTCACTAGTGACTGTGATGTTACATAATTTATCTTCTTCTGGCCCACTATAAAAATTAATTACTGGAATATTATTAGTGTCTTCCTGTGTAAAAACCGAGAGAAAATAATTATTTAAAATCGAGCACATTTCATTCTCTTTGTCAGTAAGATGCCCATAGTTATTTTTAAGGGGACCTGTCTTATCTCTAACTTTTGTTCTATATACCTGGAAAAAACTTTTTGGGTTAGTTTTAGAATCCCTAGCAACTTTAATTTCATAGTCCCACTTATGGACACACTCTGCTTCCTGTCTGTGAGCCATGACTCGATCCACTAGAGCACTTTTCCCCCAATGCCATGAGCTGCCCACTCTTCTTCCATCCTTTTACATTGCTCTTCCATCCATTCTTCCTTATCAGAACCATTTTCATCTGATCCCCTGAGCCTTCCACTTCCCTGTTCCAACTTAATTGCCAGTTTGGCTGGTCTAGAAGGCTTACCAATGAGCATGGGTTGAACTCCAATAAACTGTAACAACTCAAGGCAAGCCAAACCAAAAGTATTCAAACCAAAAAGTAATTAAACCAAGAAAGGCAAATCATCTTTATTTTCATTCTATCTGTACCTTTCTCGAAGAAATAAGATTAGTAATTTATTATTCCTCTAGTGAATCACATTTGGATCAAGTTATCACAAAAAAAAATGCAGGAAATTAATTCATCTGATTAAAGAAAAACACCTACACACAGAAATATAGATCTTTTCCTTCCATATATAAATGTGTTAGATAATATGAACTATCACACACACCAGTATATTTAGTCTATAATAAATTATTTGGGCACAACTATTAAGTGAGATAATATTTTTCAAATGGTAAAATGCGCGAAGTTGCTCTTAAAATTGAGTTCTTACATGTATTTGTTCCTAAATAGAAGCATATAACCCAAGAATCAGAGTTTTGTGTATGACTGCTGCTGAGAAAGTTGTTACCTACACTTACTCGTGCCGGTGTAGATGTGGTACCTGGTATTTACTTGTCCAGTTGGCAATGGGTTATCATAATATTGCTTTACTCTTTTTGAAAATTTGATATCCCAAAAACAGCTATTCCATCGAGAAAGGAGGTAATCAAATAATTTCTCGGTAAGACCAGAAATTGTTTGTGTCCACTACTCACCTGTTCCGTCTTGACGGTTGAGGGAAGGTCGTCTGGCCATTATTAAGTCCACCAGATTTTTGTTGCCTAGTTTCATGGCCTCGAGCAGTGGAATTTCTGAAATTATATCACAAGTTCAGAAGAATCTCTACCAACTCGTTACACGAACTGATTTCAAAGTCAATCAAGGCTTATATTACTAGCTAAGTTCCAAAAATATATGCTTTTGTCTAGTATTCTAGATTATTATGTCTACAGAAAGTAGGTTAAGATATATTTTTGTTGAAGACTCACGAAGTCGCAATATCACGATAACAAACAAACATTCCACAGAATAGGTAGGGTCTAAACCAATTGCAAGTCCTAAAACTCATAGGCCGGTGCGTTAACCACTGGGCCAGCTTAGATAATCATTATCACGGGGAATCATGAGTACACGAGAGTGCTACACACAACCTGACGAAACACAGACAACTTCTGACCTCCAGAGGCACCAAAGTCGACGTCAGTTCCTCGGCTCAGCAGCAACTCGACAAACTCTGTGTTGTTTGTTCTGATGGCAGCCAAGAGTGGAGTGGAAGCTGTAGAAATGTGTTAGGAATTAATTAGGAGACCATGTGAGTGATACTGTGAGTGACACTATGAGTGACACCGTGAGTGATACTGTGAGTGATGCTGTGAGTGACACTGTGAGTGACACTATAAGTGACACTGTGAGTGACACTGTGAGTGACACTATGAGTGACACCGTGAGTGATACTGTGAGTGACACTGTGAGAGACACTGTGAGTGATACTGTGAGTGACACTGTGAGAGACACTGTGAGTGACACTATAAGTGACACTGTGAGTGACACTGTGAGTGACACTATAAGTGACACTGTGAGTGACACTGTGAGTGACACTGTGAGTGACACTATAAGTGACACTGTGAGAGACACTGTGAGTGACACTATAAGTGACACTGTGAGTGACACTGTGAGTGACACTGTGAAAGACACAGTGAGTGACACTGTGAGTGACACTGTGAGTGACACTATAAGTGACACTGTGAGTGACACTGTGAGTGACACTGTGAGTGACACTGTGAGTGACACTGTGAGTGACACTGTGAGTGACACTATAAGTGACACTGTGAGAGACACTGTGAGTGACACTATAAGTGACACTGTGAGTGATACTGTGAGTGACACTATGAGTGACACCGTGAGTGATACTGTGAGTGATGCTGTGAGTGACACTGTGAGTGACACTATAAGTGACACTGTGAGTGACACTGTGAGTGACACTATGAGTGACACCGTGAGTGATACTGTGAGTGACACTGTGAGAGACACTGTGAGTGATACTGTGAGTGACACTGTGAGAGACACTGTGAGTGACACTATAAGTGACACTGTGAGTGACACTGTGAGTGACACTATAAGTGACACTGTGAGTGACACTGTGAGTGACACTGTGAGTGACACTATAAGTGACACTGTGAGAGACACTGTGAGTGACACTATAAGTGACACTGTGAGTGACACTGTGAGTGACACTGTGAAAGACACAGTGAGTGACACTGTGAGTGACACTGTGAGTGACACTATAAGTGACACTGTGAGTGACACTGTGAGTGACACTGTGAGTGACACTGTGAGTGACACTGTGAGTGACACTATAAGTGACACTGTGAGAGACACTGTGAGTGACACTATAAGTGACACTGTGAGTGACACTGTGAGTGACACTGTGAAAGACACAGTGAGTGACACTGTGAGAGACACAGTGAGTGACACTATAAGTGACACTGTGAGTGACACTGTGAGTGACACTGTGAGTGACACTATAAGTGACACTGTGAGTGACACTGTGAGTGACACTGTGAAAGACACAGTGAGTGACACTGTGAGTGACACTGTGAGTGACACTGTGAGACACTATGAGTGACACCGTGAGTGATACTGTGAGTGACACTGTGAGAGACACTGTGAGTGACACTATAAGTGACATTGTGAAAGACACTGTGAGTGACACTGTGAGTGACACTGTGAGTGACACTGTGAGACACTGTGAGTGACACTGTGAGTGACACTGTGAGTGACACTGTGAGTGACACTGTGAGTGACACTGTGAGTGACACTGTGAGACACTGTGAGTGACACTGTGAGTGACACTGTGAGTGACACTGTGAGTGACACTGTGAGTGACACTGTGAGTGACACTGTGAGACACTGTGAGTGACACTGTGAGTGACACTGTGAGACACTGTGAGTGACACTGTGAGTGACACTGTGAGTGACACTGTGAGTGACACTGTGAGACACTGTGAGTGACACTGTGAGTGACACTGTGAGTGACACTGTGAGTGACACTGTGAGACACTGTGAGTGACACTGTGAGTGACACTGTGAGTGACACTGTGAGTGACACTGTGAGTGACACTGTGAGTGACACTGTGAGACACTGTGAGTGACACTGTGAAAGACACTGTGAGTGACACTATAAGTGACACTGTGAGTGACACTGTGAATGACACTGTGAAAGACACTGTGAGTGACACTGTGAGTGACACTGTGAGTGACACTGTGAGTGACACTGTGAGTGACACTGTGAGACACTGTGAGTGACACTGTGAGTGACACTGTGAGTGACACTGTGAGTGACACTGTGAGTGACACTGTGAGTGACACTGTGAGTGACAATGTTAGTGATACTGTGAGTGATACTGTGAGTGATACTGTGAGTGACACTGTGAGTGACACTGTTAGTGACGCTGTGAATGACACTGTTAATAACAGTTAGTGACACTGTTAATGACGCCGTTAATAACACTGAGTTACACAGCTAGTAACACTGCAAGTGACACTGATAATGATACTGTTAGTGGCACTCTGAGTGACACTGTGAATGACACTGTGAGTGACACTGTGAGTGACACTGTGAGTGACACTGTGAGTGACACTGTGAGTGACACTGTGAGTGACACTGTGAGTGACACTGTGAGTGGCACTCTGAGTGACACTGTGAGTGACACTGTGAGTGACACTGTGAGAGACACTGTGAGTGACACTGTGAGTGACACTGTGAGTGGCACTCTGAGTGACACTGTGAATGACACTGTGAGTGACACTGTGAGTGACACTGTGAGTGACACTGTGAGTGACACTGTGAGTGACACTGTGAGTGACATTCTGAGTGACACTGTGAGAGACACTGTGAGTGACACTGTGAGTGATACTGTGAGTGACACTGTTAGTGACGCTGTGAATGACACTGTGAGTGACACTGTGAGTGACACTGTGAGTGACACTGTGAGTGACACTGTGAATGACACTGTGAGTGACACTGTGAGTGACACTGTGAGTGACACTGTGAGTGATACTGTGAGTGACACTGTTAGTGACGCTGTGAATGACACTGTGAGTGACACTGTGAGTGACACTGTGAGTGACACTGTGAGTGACACTGTGAGTGACACTGTGAGTGACACTGTGAGTGACACTGTGAGTGACACTGTGAGTGACACTGTGAGTGACACTGTGAGTGACACTGTGAGTGACACTCTGAGTGACACTGTGAGTGACACTGTGAGTGACACTGTGAGTGATACTGTGAGTGACACTGTTAGTGACACTGTGAGTGACACTGTGAGTGACACTGTGAGTGACACTGTGAGTGATACTGTGAGTGACACTGTGAGTGATACTGTGAGTGACACTGTTAGTGACGTTGTTAATAACACTGTGACTGTCACTTTTAATGACACAGTGAGTGACACTGTTATTGTCACTGTTAGTGACACTGTTATTGTCACTGTTAGTGACACTGTTATTGTCACTGTTAGTGACACTGTTATTGTCACTGTTAGTGACACTGTTATTGTCACTGTTAGTGACACTGTGACACTATTAGTGACACTGTTAATGACACAGTGAGTGACACTGTTATTGTCACTGTTAGTGACACTGTTATTGTCACTGTTAGTGACACTGTTATTGTCACTGTTAGTGACACTGTTATTGTCACTGTTAGTGACACTGTTATTGTCACTGTTAGTGACACTGTTATTTGTCACTGTTAGTGACACTGTTATTGTCACTGTTAGTGACACTGTTATTGTCACTGTTAGTGACACTGTTATTGTCACTGTTAGTGACACTGTTATTGTCACTGTTAGTGACACTGTTATTGTCACTGTTAGTGACACTGTGACACTATTAGTGACACTGTTAATGACACTGTGAGTGACATTGCTGAAAATAAATGGTATAAAATACCGACACAATGAAAACAAACACATATGCAGTTTAATGTGATTCTTTATTGACAACGTTTCGCCCACACAGTGGGCTTTTTCAAGTCACAAACAGATCTACCTGGGGTGGAAGGTACGTGAGTATTTATAGTCGGGTTCAGAATGTTGAGGTCAGGTGGAGAATGCTGCCGGTAGGTCAACAGATGCAGCATTCTCCACCTGACCTCAACATTCTGAACCCGACTATAAATACTCACGTACCTTCCATCCCAGGTAGATCTGTTTGTGACTTGAAAAAGAACACTGTGTGGGCGAAACGTTGTCAATAAAGAATCACAATAAACTGCATATGTGTTTGTTTCCAGAGTGACATTGCTATTGACTCTGTTAGTAACACTATGAGTGACACTGTTAATGACACTGTTAGTGACACTGAGTGCCACCCTCTCTGGCACTGCGTGACACTGTGATTGACACTGAGTCACTCACTGTGACGCCCTGACAATGAAAGCGTTAAATGTGCTGCTGTAGGTGGGGTAACTGGAGGTGGGGGTTACTGGAGGTGGGGGTTACTGGAAGTTTCGGTTACTGGAGGTGGGGGTTACTGGAAGTTTCGGTTACTGGAGGTGGGGGTTACTGGAAATGGGGGTAACTGGAGGTGGGGGTTACTGGAGGAAGGGGTTACTGGATGAGAGGGTTACTGGAGGAGGGGGCTACTGGAGGTGGGAGTTACTGGAAGTGGGGGTTACTGCAGGTAGGGGTTACTGGATGAGGGGGTTGCTGGAGGTGGGGCTTACTGGTTGTGGGGGTTATTGGATGAGGGGTTCCTGGAGGTGGGGGTTACTGGAGGTGGAGATTACTGGAGGTGGGGGTTACTGCAGTTAGTGGTTACTGGATGAGGGGGATAGTGGAGGTGGGGATTACTGGAGGCGGGGGTTACTGGAGGTGGGAGTAACTGGAGGAGAAGGGAGTTACTGGAGGTGGGGATTACTGGAGGTGGGAGTTATTGGAGGAAGAGGATACTGGGGGTGGGGATTACTAGAGTTTGGGGTTACTGGAGGATATTTCTGGAGGAGAGGATTACTGGAGGCGGGGGTAACTGGAGGTGAGAGTAACTGGAGGAGAAAAGAGTTACTGGAGGTGGGGGTTGCTGGTTATAGGGGTCACAGGATGAGGGGTTCCTGGTGGTGGGGATTATTGGAGGTGGAGGCTACTGGAGGTTGGGGTTACTGCAGGTAGCGGTTACTGGATGAGGGGGTTAATGGAGGGGGGTTACTGGAGATGGGGGATACGGGAGGTGAAGATTACTAGAGGTAGGGATTAGTGGTGGTGGGGGTTACTA